CCCCCCCGTTCATTAGATACAATTTATCTGGAGAAACTTAACAAAGCCAGATAAAAAAGGGGGTGAAACCAGCAAAATAGAATTGTCCCAAAAGGCAAATGAGAAAACTTTAAACAAATAACCCCCATTCTAGTTCTAGATTAGTTGTTAAAAGAGTGACTTTTGATGTATGCCCATCAACTCACTGGCACAAAGCTTCACTTTCATCAGTGCCCTACTGTTAGCAGAAGATTACTTTAAAATCTGCTCTTGAACAAGATGCTTTCTTACCTTATTCTCAGTAAGACCTGGAGAGCCAGTTCTCAAACAAAAACAGTATGATTGATTTCTTTCCTTTCTTGATATATGCTTTTGATTACCTGATGCAGAGTGGCAAATAGAACATGGAAATTGTGATTTGTATTTGTCCTACAAGTAGTTCCAGTCATAATTTGTGTGTTTGGTGAGTTGTTGTAAGAAAACTAAAAAAAATAGTTACTGTACTATGCTAGTAACTATTAACAGAGTGGAAATAAGCAAATGAAAACCCTGTTACCTCGTTAGCACAGCACTGAAACCATAGCTTGGTGTTCGGTCTGAACTAAGTTAGTATGTATGCATTTGGATTGCTACTAGTTAGTTTTGTTATTAAATATGCAGGTTTACCCACCAATCCTTTAGAAAACTAATTGAAAATATGTTCTCTTGTGCAGCAAAATAATCTCAGTAATCCACCTACACCTCCAGCATCCCTTCCTCCTACACCTCCACCTGTGACTTGCCAAAAAATTGTGAATGGATTTGCAACAACTGAAGAACTTGCTACCAAAGCTGGAATGTTGGGAGGATCTGATGGTAAGATGTTTGCTATCCACATCATTTTGTAGAAAATCTGCCTATGTGGTTGCTAAAAGTCAACAATGACTTGATGGCAATAATCAATAAAACCAGAGTTGTATAATATACTTGTTATATTCACTCAACTAATTAGAAAAACCGGAAGACCTCCACCTTGGAAGCCACAAAAGCCAGGACTAATCTATCTTCCAGGGGAAAACTGTTTCATAAATATCGACTCCATCATGGAATATCTCCCAGCTTTAGTTTCTTGATTTTCTAGGGAAACTATGATTAAGAGAAAATGTGGAACACTATGCTATTTTTTCCTCAAGATGTTCTTATTTGATTCTTGTAGGTTTCAACCAAGCAAGATTCTTAAAGTGTCTTGCAAAATAAATAGGACAAGGTTAATGTATCTCATTCTTCCCTGCCCTTTTCCTCTGCTTCAGCCACCCACTGATCAACCCATACCTTTCACTTCGCTTTCCTTCAGTGCAACATCCATAGTTAAATTCGGATACAGCACAGTCCAGGCTAGAAACCAGAAGATTGTAACTTCTAGTCCCACCTTAGGCATGAAAATCGACTGGATGACTTTGAGCTAGTCGCTCACTCTTAGCCAATCTACCTCACAAGGTTGTTGTTGTGGGGAAAATAGGAGGAGGAAGGAGTATTAGGTATGTGCTCTGCCTTGTGTTGCTTATAAAATAATAAAGATAGGGTATTAAAATAAATAAATGAATATAAATAATCCAATTGGTCCATATTTACTTGCCCTTCCTCTTAGTTGCCCCAAGCATCTTCCTTGCTTCACCTTTCCCCATCTTTGCTGTCTTTACCTTTTCTCTCCTGTAAACCTACCCTGGAACTCTATGCCTCTTTCAAACACATGTTCATATTCAGGAAAAAGAAACATATTTTGGTCCAAGTATGACCTTCTCCAAATTGAATCTGGAATAGGCTACACATAGAATATGTTGGATGTTACTAAATGTTAGCAAAACATTCTCTGGCTCCTCAGAGATGCATGTAAGCTTTCATTAATCCAGTCCAGTCAGGTAGCTGTTTAAAATCATTTGTTTAATCTGTGCATCCTATCTGTTGCCAAAGCTTTAGGTTCAAAGCAGTTTCAGCTGCCTTTCAGGCCACAGGATGATTTGTTAGCCAGGGCCATAATTCAGGGTCCTAAGAGTGTGGATGTCCCTGCTTCTCTTCCAACCCCGCCTCATAACAATCATGAAGAGCTCAGGTAGGTGTCTTTTTTTAAAGGCATTAACATTGTATTGTGCTTAATATTTGCTCATGTGTTTTGATACTGAGCAGAATCTGCTGCCCCATAATGATATTTTTGCTATTAAGTTTTTTTGATCTATAAATTAAAGGAATATCTGTAATTTATGTCTCAACAAGCCACCCCAAAGACAGCACAACTAGTTTCAGACTAGTTCAGCCCATTATTTTTATAACTCATATATGTTATGTAGTTTTAAGCATTCAGAATAGTTTTCAGTTTTATTTTGTTTCTCCCATTTTTAAAAATCAGAGTTAGACTCTGTTCTGTCATGGAATGACCTTTATCTGCTGAAAAAAGGAAAATGCAAGTTTCTGGGACCAGACTACGAAGCTACTGTTGTCTAGTCCAGCAGTCCCCAATCTTTCTGGCTTGGCAGCCCAGTCTGGGGGGGAAGGGGCATGTGAGTGGCCAGGCACACACACACCCTCCACTCTTGCAAATGCAGTTCCATGCACAAATGGCAGGCACTTGCGCTCAGGCACAAAGCTTCACTCGCGTGAGCAGAAGATGGTTCTGCTTGCATGCAAAGCTCCACTCTTACAAGCAGCAGGCACTTGCACTCATGTGCAAACAGAGGACACTTGAGTGGAGGGCGCTTGTGCCCATGTGTGAACCTCCACTCATGAAGGCACTTCGCACGAGAGCGGAAGCGCCATCCACTCACACAAGTGGAGCTTTCCACGCAAGCACAATTGTCATCCTCTCGACTGCGAAGTGAACCTTCGCACACACTCACTTGCCCATGTCTCCTGTGACCCAGTTTTGAACAGGCTCTGGCCCAGTAGTGGGCTCTGGCCCGAGAGTTGGAGACCACTGGTCTAGTCAGGTAACTGAGAATTAAAAATAATAAATATCATGGAGATAGTAGCTTGTGTGGGAAGAGATTGAGATCTTATTCTTGAAATGCTCTTTATTTTGTTTTCCACATAAATTACTTGTAAGCACAGGATTGTACAATCACTGGAAGATTAAAAAATGGAATTAACAGCTAAAGTAAGTGAGTGTGCTTATCAATAGATAACATATACTGTAGTGTTATTTTTTTTTTACATCACACTTCTTTGCACTGTTAGCATATTTTGGCTATAAAAAAAGCCTAATAAATTTGGTTTTGGAAAAATTTGAAAGTGCCCCCACTTTGCAGTCAACTTCATGAATCACCTGTTTGCTCTTTGTATATGTGAACCATACTTACAAGTGTCCTGGTTTTGCTGTGTGTCTTAGGATTCAGGATCCTTGTGATGATAGAGAAAGTCCAGATAGCTTTGTTCCTTCTTCTTCCCCTGAGAGCGTCATGGGCATGGAAATAAGCAGGTACCCAGATCTATCAGCAGTAAAAGAAGAGATGCCACAGTCCGTTCCATCTCCTGTCATTCCAATTCTGCCAACAAGTTCTGGAAAGGGTAAAGCCAACATTTATTCTGAACAAATATATTGATTTCTCTAACCCAGTAGTGAAATGAGTAGACTTCAGTTTTCAGAAATCCCTAGCTAGCATGGCTGCCTGGGGAATTCTGGGAGTTGAACCCCACACATCTTAAAGTTGCTGAGGTTGGGGAACACTGCAGTTTAACCACATTCCAAAGTGACTTAAAGTTCAATTTCTTCTCTCTTAAGGTTCAGAGGCAAAGCAAAATTTCATCAAAATGGAGCCTTGTTCAACTTTCTTCAGTTCTCAACTTGGACTTGCCCCAAATAACACAGAATCTGGGCTTGTGTCCATTGCCATTACTTTGCATCCTACAGCTGCAGAGGTAAAGGTACCACACCTCTAGATGGACAAGGCTGGGTGCCGTCCTCAGTGTGCTATTGATGTCTTGGTTGCTAATTTTTATTTCTGCTGTCAGTTGTATTAAACGCTACTATGCACTTTCAGTATCTTTTCATTGAGTTGTATGTAGTAGGGTCATAAAAGCTGAGCTCAATAGCTTTGCTATATGCTGGATAAGAACATTATCCTATTGGCCATTCGGTTACCAGTACCATTCTTAATCATTCCAATTTTGTAACTCATTTCTTTTACTGGGTTTTAATTCAAGCTATCCACTGGCACTCCAAAATTCCTTTCTTCATTAGTAGCCTGATTTCAGATCCCATTAATTTAAAGTTAGGATTTTATGGACTAAATGCATTATTTTATACATTCTTGTCCTGAATTGCATTTGCCAATTTATTACTTGTGTGACCAGTTTGATTTTACCATTCTAAACAATTTGATATGATCAGCAAAGATGGCTGCTTACCCTAACCATGGATTATCGTATTTTTCGGAGTATAAGACGCACCGGAGTATAACACACACCAAGATTCTGAAGAGGCAATTTTTTTTAAAAAAGGTTTTGCATTCTGCAGATCTCCCCAAAAGGGCCCGTTTTTCACAAAACTGAGCTTGTTTTTCATCCAAAAAAAGGCATGCATAGCCTTTAGGAGACTTGTAGAGTGCTCCTGGGGGTGCAAAAACGGTCCCGTTTTTTGCTCATTTCTGCCCTCTTCAGCCCCCCAGGAGCATTCTGGAAGCCTCCTAAAGGCTATGCACATCCATTTTGGTGAATGGGGCGGGGTTTTGGGAGGCCAAAAATGCTGTATTGTGTATAAGACGCATCCAGATTTTCAATCTCTTTTTTAATGGAAAAGGGTGTGTCTTATACTCTGAAAAATATGGTATTTATATCCAAAATGAAAAGCCCCAGTCTTAACTCTGATGTCTTGAAAAACTTTATGTATGCATTATGTGTTAAAACTGCCTATATATTCCTAAAATCTTTTCTGCTTCTTAATCACTCGTCAGTAAATGGGAGTCTGATTCTACTATTCCCTTTCAACTGAGTTTGCTCACCATCATTTAATTTTTATTTATGGGAGGATTTTTTTTTAAAATTCCAAGCATATGCTATCTGACTTATGACAAATTAATGTTTTGGAAGTTGTAGAGTCCTCATAGTCACACGATTATTTATAACCTTCACTGACACCTTCTGATAAAGGCAAGAGGGAAGCCAGCAGGAAGTTGCAAATGGTAATCATGTGATCGTGGGATGCTGCGACACAACAGGCGGTAACTAGGACTGCCAGAATGTCCATTGTGATGTGACATTGCTAAGTGACGGGAGTTCCTAGATCCAATTACAGTTGATAAGTGAGGACTATATGTATCTTATTAACAGCAAAGCAACTATACGCTTATTTTTTCTCCACTCCAGAATATTGGTAGTGTGGTGGCTGCGTTCTCCAATCTTCTGCATGTCAGAATTCCAAACAGCTATGAAATTAGCACTGCATCTGATGCTCCATCATCCATCGGAATAATGAATCCACACAGAACTAATCCAGCATTTGAGTACAGGCAACATGTACTACTTCATGGTCCTCAGTCAGGAACCTTTGGCCCTCCTGGACTGACAGGGCCTTATGGGCTCAAGCCACACAACGCCCCATTTTTATCAAGCGGAAATGGTGAGTCAGTGTGTGACCTGCTAATATTTTGCTAATAAATAAGAAGTTAAACTCAGCATTGAAGGTTTAAAAAAAAAACGGGATTTCAAGATAAAAAGTAAATATTTATTTATTACATTTTTATTTTTGTCAGTAATATCAATTGAATTCTGATAAACGATTTGTAGGATTGGATGTTATTCTGCTTCCGAGGGAACTGATCTGATATCAGTCATTAATTGTGATTAGTTCCAAACTGCTACAGGAGATACTGAAAAAAATAAACACCAAGGAGGACAATGCATAGATAGGTTGTTCTCAACTTACGACCTTTTGCTTAGTGACCATTTGAAGTTATGGCGCTGAAAAAAGTGACATGTCTATTTTTCATATGATTGTTGCAGAATCCCCATGGTCATATGATCAAAATTTGGATACCTGGCTAGCTTGTATTTAGGATGGCTGCAGTGTCCTGGGGTCAAGTGATCATCTTTTGCAAACTTCTGACAAGCAAAATTTATGGGGAAGCCATAAATTCACTTAACAAATATGTTACTAAGCTGTAATGATTCACTTAATAGTTGTGGGAAGAAAGGTCGTAAAATGGAGCAAATCTCTTTTAACTACTTTCTCATTTAGCAAAAGAAATTTGGGGCTCAATTGTAGTTGTAAGTTGAAAACTAACTTTAAATTAGATAGGATGGGATGTTGCATTAAGGATTGGTTATTAATTGATATGTAGACTGTATACAGACAAGTGGCTGTCCAGTCCTTTCTGAAAAACCTCCAGTGATGAAGCACCTGCAACTTCTGGTGGCAAGTTGTTCCATTGGTTAATTGTCCTCACTGTTAGGAAGTTTCTCCTTAATTCCAGTTTTTTTTCTCCTTAATAGATTTCTATTGTTTCTTGCCCTGCTTTCAGGGGCTTTGGAGAATAGTGTGCTCCCTCTTCTTTGTGAATGCTCCAACACTGGAAGTTTTCAAGAAGAGATTGGATAACCATTTGTCTGAAATGGTGTAAGGTTCCCAGCCTAAGCAAGAGGTTGGACTAGAAGACCTCCAAGGTCTCTTCCAATTCTGTTATTCTAATTTCTGTGAAGCCATCTTAGTCCCCCCACTCAGTCTGATAGAGGGGCCATACTCCAAATCCCCTCTGCTAAGGAATTATGATTGGTGGAATATAGGAGAAGAGCCTTTTCTGCCATGGCACCTAACCTTTGAAACATTATTCCCCTTGAGGTGAAATCTGCTTACCCCGCGCGCTCCTTGGCCTTCTGAAAGGGTCTGACGACCGAGTTCTGTCAAATAGCTTGGCGCCCTGATAGGGCATCTCATTTAAGGCATAGGTTGAAGATCCCACCTCCACCCCGTGTATACGTTGATTGTTTTATTCACTTTGTTGTCAACTTAGTGTTTTAACTTTGCTGTCCAATATTTTAATCTTTTGATGTTTTAACTGTTTTATGCCATTATTTATAACATTGTGAACTGCCTAGTATCTCTTGATAGTGAGATGGGTGGCATATAAATTTAATCAATTTAGTGATAATGGAGCAGGTATTTGGAGGCATAAGAATATTTACAGTAGAATGATGCATATATTAAAATAATTTGTATTTGTCTCATCTCCAGTTTTGTCAGGTTATAAAGCACAAAGTCCAAATGTTGTGGATGGTTCAGCATTAAGGTCACAGTGGTGTTCTCATTGTAAAGTGGTAGTACTGGGGAGTGGAGTACGAAAATCTTTCAAAGAACTACATTTCCTGAAACAGGTATGTCTGTAATTACCTCCATTTTTAATTGTGTTTTCCCCTTATAGCAGGGGTGTCAAACTCGTGTCATCATGGGGTTGTCACATGATGTATTGCAATTTCCCCCCCTTCGCTAAATCGGGTGTAGGCAGCACACGACGCATCTGGTCCATGGGCCGGGAGTTTGACAGCCCTGCCTTATAGTAGTAAGAGTACATGAGGGTTGGGAATATTCTGTTTCTTGTTGACTATGTTCTAGCAGATAAAATTTGAAATCGATTGAATGCTCTCTATTTTACCTGAATAAAACTTGAAATGTATCAGATATTCCAGGGATAGGGCACAACAAAGAATCAAAGCAAGCTCCTTGTTTTTTTAATCCAAGACCAGATGGGGAGGCCATGCTAACTACTTCCCAGTGACTAACCTGCATTGATATTGACCAAGAGGATTATTTTCAAAATGTTTTTCAAGAACTTATAGGAAAGAAGTATTGTTGTTCTTTGTTCTTTGTGTCCTACCTTCTTCTGTCTGTATTGTAAGTCTGCAACAGAAGTCACTACAGTCCATCCACATGAACTCTAACTGAAATTATGCATTTAATAAAATTATTTTATTTTTTACTACAGGATTTTACTACAGTGTTACTTTACCTTGTCTAAGGCAGTAGCAGTAAAAACATGATGAAGCCCAGTTACATTTGTACTTACTTTGGACCAGGAAGGTGGGGGGGGGGGGGGAACGGGACAGTTCAGTCATAATTCACAAAATGAAAGTGCCTTTCAGGGCTCAAAATACTTTAGATTGTTCAAGGCCGTGCTGTCCTTTTGATCAAGTACAGAAGGATCCATTTTGAGTTCAGAAAGTTTTACATACCTGAAGTGTTAGAACTCTTCTTCAAACATCGTGGCTGGGGAAATCGGGAAGTCAAAAGTTCAAGTATCTTAAAATGCCAAGGTTGAGAAAACTGTCTTAGCGCTGCTTGTTTTGCTTTATTTAATGTAAAAATTTGCTCTTTTACCAGTAAATGATCTCAGTACAGGAATGATTTATATAGCACTGTTATTTGTTTTCCTTTGATCTGGATCATATTTCTTCCATTTAAGTGGCATAAAAATAGAAATATGTCAATGTATTCCCACTATAAATACAAAAATATTCCAAGATAATTGGCATGTCCTCAATTTTCTACCATCTATTAATTTTTATTTGGCCTGTTATTATATTTATTACTAGTTAACAACCAGCTAAGCAAGTAATCATAACACAATTTTTTTTCTATTAATAACATTTAAGTATTCTGTTTGTTGGAGAGCAACTTTTATTTGTTGAATATTTTTCCAGTCCAACATAAAATATTTTTTTTAAACAAAATCATGTTTTAATATAAGCTTCCTACAGATAAGGAAGATCTTGATGTTTCTGACTTTATTTTATTGCTTTGTTTCGTTTTGTTTATTTTTAGGATTCCAAGGAAAAGTCTGAGAGAATAGAGAAAGACATTGTCTTCTGTAGTAACAATTGCTTAGTTCTTTATTCAGCCTCCATGCAAGCAAAAAGTTCAGAAAGCAAGGTAAATATTTACCATGACACTGCTTTAATATAACATTTTAATTAAAAATTATCTAGAAGATCAAGAGCAATTCAGTTTGTTTAACATCAGATATATTTATTTGTTTTCCATTTGTTGCATCCATCTGCAGTGAAGATTTTTCACACAGGATCTGTATATATGTTTTAAAGTGTTTTAAAATGTGAAAATCAAATTATATATGAATCTATTCTGAAGGGAAAATTTGGACTCTTTAGGATATAATTATTTTAATTATATTCTAGATGTTATGTAAAGTGAATCTCTTCAAACATTTACTGTACATCTCATAGCTCTTTAGTCATACTTTACAAAATTTTGCAATTAATGTTGGGATCTATCACACTAATGGGAAAAATATAACTGGTACACTAGAATTTCATTAAATAAAAGTGGGTTAAAAGTTATAAATAAATTAAATTACTTCAGATTGTCATTCCCACTCACACAGTGTTTAATAAGGACACCCAGATTTGCCAACAAAATAGATGCTGCTGACATTAATAATAGTTCATATCTTCAGCAGATCGGACTGTACATAACAAAGAAAGAATATAATATGGATACATAACCATCTATTCAGATATCTTTTGCATTTTCTGAACCTGGTACAAGATAAGTTGAAATCCCAATGATAGTACAGACTTATGCGTCGTATCAAGATCTTATACATACATTTAAAAACCAGAGATCCTTTTGGTTAAGCTATTTGCAATTCTATTTCCTTAAACATTATTCTAATATTCTCAGCTCTGAATTGTGAAACTGCCCAGTCTTGCAAAGTGATTATTAAACCATGCAAACTTCTGTTATTAGTACAAAACTGTGATCTAATTCCAATAATGCATGTACATAACTTTTGCTATGAATCTCTTTTTAACCGCTGTTCTGATTATTTCTCAGGAATCTGTCCCTCCTGAAATCCAATTTCCAATGAAAGAACCTCCAAAAAGTTTCCACCAATATAGTACCAACATCTCCACGTTTGACGTTCACTGCCTCCCTCAACTGCAGGAAAAGAATTCTCCCCCCTCATCACCCCTCATTATTTTTCCTCCTGCCTTTGAAGCTGCCAAAGTGGAGCCCAAACCAGAAGAACTTAAGGTAACCGTGAAATTGAAACCCCGCTTAAGAACTGTTCCCAATGGCCTTGATGACTGTCGACCGGCGAACAAGAAATGGAAAGGAATGAAATGGAAAAAATGGAATGTACAGATTGTGATTCCTAAAGGAACGTTCAAACCCACTTGTGAAGAGGAGATAGATGAGCTTCTCAAGAAACTGGGCACAACCCTTAAACCTGATCCTGCCCTGAAAGACTACCGAAAATGCTGTTTCTGCCATGAAGAGGGCGATGGGCTAACTGATGGACCAGCCAGGCTTCTGAATCTGGATTTAGACCTCTGGGTTCATTTGAACTGCGCTCTTTGGTCTACTGAGGTCTATGAGACACAAGCTGGTGCCTTAATCAATGTTGAGCTTGCTCTGCGAAGGGGCTTGCAAATGAAATGCGTGTTCTGCCACAAGATGGGTGCTACCAGCGGCTGCCACAGGTTAAGGTGCACCAATGTTTATCACTTCACCTGTGCCATTAAAGCACAATGCATGTTTTTCAAAGACAAAACTATGCTTTGCCCAATGCACAAACCGAAGAGCACTCATGAGCAAGAACTCAGTTATTTTGCGGTCTTCAGGCGAGTCTACGTCCAACGGGATGAAGTCCGACAGATCGCTAGCATCGTACAGAGGGGGGACCGTGAGCACACCTTCCGGGTGGGGAGCCTGATCTTCCACAGTATCGGTCAGCTGCTGCCCCACCAGATGGTTGCCTTCCACTCTTCAAAGGTGCTCTACCCAGTGGGGTTTGAGGCCAGCCGGTTGTATTGGAGCATACGATACACTAACCGCCGTTCCCGCTACCTGTGTTCCATTGAAGAGAAGGATGGCTTCCCCTTGTTTGTGATCAGGGTGATTGAGCAAGGACACGAAGATATGATTCTGACCGGCCTGACTCCAGAAGGTAAATGAAAACCTGGGAACCCTAGTCACGCTAGGCCAGGGAGATCTGATTGAATTGAGAGGTGTTGATGTCTAAATACCCAGAGGAAAGCAGCTTGCCTATTTCTGAGATAGTTTTTCTAAGCACTGCATTTATTTACTTTCACTTCATGTGAAAAAAGCAAATACTTTTTATTTTACAAAAAGAAAGCCAAAATGGAGAAACCATAAATGATGTCAAGGTGGAATATGCCATGAATCTGAGGGTGCACTTTTAAGAACAGCTAAGGACAAGATGGTTTTTACTATGTCCTGATATGTAAAACTCGAAAGGAGTGTGTGTTTTCTTTTTCATATTACTATACCTTCTTTATAGTCATGCTTCATTTTCTGGAAGCTGATAGCAAAACCAGCCTAAAATCACCAGGATTTGATTATCTTGCTTTGGAAGGTTCCCATTCCATCATTTAAAATCCGCTACACCCCTCAGGCCTTTAAGGAAACTCCTAGCCAGGAGAAGATTGTTTGAGAAATTCTGATCTTGATTTAATAGTAGCTTAGGAATGTATCTAGACCTGGAAAGGAAAATTATTGAGGAATTCACCCCAATAATACATAAGGCTATTTCCCATGATAAATATCTTTAGAAAATGTTAATTACCATTGTCACTGTCACTTGTGATTGCATTTTAATTTGCAACATCTGACCAAAATAAATAATACAATGAATATAGACTTTCTTGAGGAAATACCCACTATTAAAACCTGTTTCGGGGAGGCATATAACCATAAATTCTTAAGCCTTGTCCTCTATATTTTATATTCCAGTATTACTTCCAAAGCAGATATAAAATCTAGTCTGATTCTTATAATAAATTTCCTATCCTAATCATAAATAATGGCCTGATAATAAATAGAGCAAAGCATTCAGTTCTCTTTCTGTATTGTTTATTGTATTTTTCCCTGTACAGATGTTTGGGATAAAATCCTTGAGCCTGTTGCATCTATACGGAAAACCTCCGAAATGCTCCAGCTATTCCCTGTGTATCTCAAGGGCGAAGATCTTTTTGGCCTGACTGTCTCTGCAGTGGCTAGAATAGCTGAATCAGTGAGTGTTTGGGCAATGGTGCCAGGCTGAATCTTCATCAATTCTTGCTTAGTAATGGTCAGAATTTTGCATTGGTGGCAATTGTTTATAGAATACATTAGAGAAGAGTGCTGTAGTTGAAACAGCAGAACTTAACAAAAGCTGGAATTCATCCTTAGAACAAATAAACATAGAGAGACAGATACACAGGCATATACACAGAAACTCTTTCTTTCTGTTCTGTGGAAATAAGTCAGAGGCCTTTCCTTGATTGCTGGTATAGTGGCAGTGGGAATGTAAAGAAGGAAAATAAATCCAGGTGTGTAGTTTCAAACTGCCAGAGTTGCTCAGCAGTAATGGCATATTCATTTAATAAATAAATAATACTTCCCACAATCTCCAGCAGCACAGAATGTACCGGCCCTTAAAATATTTCTCATCTCGGGGACATTTTACCCTGAAGTAAACTCCTCCTTTCTGCATTGTAGCCGAAACCTGTAGACTGCTGAAGAAAAATCAGAATGGGTCTTTGTGCTACCTGTTTGGGGCTCTATGTTCTTAAAGAAAATAGAAGAAGAAAAACGGGAAATGGTTTAATGCGCTCTTTGTACCTTTTTCATCACCATGAAGAAGATTGTTTTGTTTCAAGTATCAAAGGCTGTTCTTTTGGCTCTTCTGCAGTTCCATTGACCTGGATTTCTCTTGTGTTACAGCTTCCTGGGGTTGAGGCCTGTGAGCGTTACACCTTCCGTTATGGCCGAAACCCCCTCATGGAGCTGCCTCTCGCCATCAACCCCACTGGCTGCGCTCGTTCTGAGCCCAAAATGAGCAGCCATGTCAAGAGGTTTGTGTTAAGGTATTTTCTTTTAAATTCACATAGTGCAGCCCAGGGTTTATAGGCTTCCGTAGGATACCTGTGCTTCTGTGTGCTGCTTACAAACCCTGCTGTCTTTGGCTGTGTATGTGGCCCGTCCGAGTTGGGGGGCAGCTGCTTTAATGTCTCTGCTAGGTGGCTTTGAATGTCCGTTTATCTAGGAGCTGTTTTATGATTCAGAACATTGCAACATTCAGAGAGATCTTCAGTTTTCCTTCTCTGTTCCTTCTGTTCTGTGACCCTTTGCTGCAGGCCTCATACCTTGAATAGCACCAGCACTTCAAAGTCATTTCAGAGCACAGTGACAGGAGAACTAAATGCACCTTACAGTAAGCAGTTTGTTCATTCAAAGTCTTCTCAGTATCGGAAAATGAAGACTGAATGGAAGTCCAATGTCTACTTGGCACGATCGCGTATTCAGGTCAGTTTGGACCAGGAAAGTATTAACTATATTTTTGTGTGGGAAAATACCAGATGTATTTAAAAATAATATTTATTTAATAAGCATATTTTATATTTATTATTTGTTTCATTTACATATTCATGCTAATTTATCCTTCATTGGAACTCACTGTTTGTTTGTTTATTTATTACTAGCATCTGTATACTGCCTACTTGAACAACTCCATTAAATTGCAAGTGATTAATCTCCATTGAACGTAGTGGGACTTTTCTCTCAGTACAGATAGTCCTCCACTTAGGACCGGTCATTTAGCTACCATTTGAAGTTATGAAAAACCTTTCCGTAGCTACTTTTGGCCTGGTTTCAAAGTTCTGATGACCTGTGTTCCCCCTCCCCCATGATCACATGATCATATTTCATGCACTTGGAATTTACAGCCATTTGCATCATCCCTGGTCACACGACCACGGTTTAATTCAAACACACACACACACACCCCCAATAAACCACAATTTACCTCTTGTTTTTGGCAAAAAACCCACCATCCATTGGATATAATGGGTTTGCTGTGGCATTGACTTTATGACTTTGGCATTCTTTGAAGTCGTAAAATTGGCACAATTATGTGGTGACCTGATTAGTGACCACACTTTATCCCCATAATTTCAGGTTCAATTACTGTCATAAGTCAAGGACTACCTGTAATCATTGTAGCATTAGTTGAAAAGAATTATAGGATTATTAAAATATCTTAAGTGGACATGCTGAGATTTTGAGATCTATTTAAATCAGCAGAAGAGGCCACTGATGTGCTCTATTACCAAATCATTCCTGCCTTTTCAGGGCCTGGGTTTATATGCTGCTAGAGACATTGAAAAGCACACTATGGTAATTGAATATATTGGAACCATCATTCGCAATGAAGTAGCCAACAGGAAGGAGAAGCTTTATGAATCTCAGGTACTCCTTAAGACAAGAAGCATTTGTATTTCAAGCTTTGTGGGACATGGAGGAGCTAATGAGGACAAGAGTTCCATGGGTTTCATTAAGGCCCTTGGTGCTAATTACTACTTTAAAAAATTTTAAATATAGGTTTTCATGTAGATTTTAATAATATTTGTATTTTCATTGATAACATCATCCTAAGTGCCCTAAATAAGGGAAAGGCTAGCTGTCTGACTGACTGGTTATCTCTTTTTCTCTTCATCCATCCATCCGTCCGTCCATCATCTATCAGTCTATATCTTTAGCTATCTCACTATCTGCCTTACCTATCTTGAAGCACCAGGTGTTTGTGTGTGCGTGCGTGCATGTCTTTTAAGTGTTCAGATAAAGGAAGTTTGTTGTGAACCAGCCACAGCAACGTTTGATTCTTTCATTTATGGAGGCTAAACGTGATTAAGATATTTTTGAGCCTTCCTTGGACTTTCATTTTTGGTGTTTCTATTCTCAAAATCCTAGCAAGAATGCTACTTTTTTGGAAAAAGACATTAAGGTTTCCAATGTTTTAATAAGCATTTGGATTGTAATTGCAATTCAGGATGGCTACATATCATATCTTTGAATATTAATACTTGTTATACTGGCTTAGTCCTTTTTTTCTCTCATTTCTGATTTTCTCTCCACAGAATCGTGGAGTATACATGTTCCGCATTGATAATGATCATGTTATTGATGCCACATTGACTGGAGGTCCTGCAAGGTGGGTAGTTCTAGAAGGAAACTAATAAAAGTTTTCCCCTGTCCAGTCATGTCCAACTCTAGTGGGGTGGGTGCTCATCCCCATTTCTTGGCTGAGGGAACCAGCCTTGTCCGAAGAGAGTTTCCATGTTCATGTGGCTATAGGCCAAAGGCGCATGGGACACTGTTCCCTTCCCATCAAAGTGGTACCTATTAATCTACCCAGATTTGCATGCTTTCAAATGTAGGCAGGAGCTGGGACAGGAGCTCACCCTGTTGTGTGGAACTCAGGTCTTGAACTCGGGCTGTAAGTTCTCCCACAGACATACTTAATGTTTTTAATGGCTGAGCCGTCGTGCCCCAGTGTTGGATTAGAATGAGTCAAATTCAGCCTTGGAAGCTCACTAAGTGCCTTTATGCCAAGGACTCTCTCAGCCCATTATCTGCACGGGATAATTGTGGGAAAGATTGGAGGAAGGTGTGCTGTATATGCCGCCCTGGGTTCCTGACAAACAGGGCACGAGACATCCACGACCTGTTTATTTTTGAAAAAAACCTTCACAGCAGCCTAAGTTGGTATTTACTTTATCACCAGAAGTACCTTCCTCTTATATTGCAACCTTGTCACATTTCCTAACTTTAAATACACAAATTTATCTTTTGTTGCTCAAAGTCTCATATAGTAAAATTATGGTACACAATATATAAAATATCTACCCTTCTCTTCTCTCCCCTACCTTATAGGTACATTAACCATTCCTGTGCACCCAACTGTGTGGCTGAAGTGGTAACCTTTGAACGGGGACATAAAATCATAATTAGCTCTAACCGGAGAATCCAGAAAGGGGAAGAGGTATGGTTTATATGGCTTTTAGTACCATACATTTTTTTCATATACTGAATATTCTGCTCTTTTTTGCAACGAACAAAATACTCGGTATCGATGGCTGGTAGACAGAATCTTGCTCTCTAGGCTGAAGGCAAAGTCTGTAGGAACCTTAAGAGTTTCTACAGAAAGCAGTTTCCCATCTGAAATGCATTTTTGTTTATTTATTGAAGACTGGCATGTTTATGATCTGAAGGGATTTTTTTTTTTGGCAGAGGACACTTTAGCAGCTGGAGCAATTTGCCCTTTGTTAAAATGCAGGCCAAAGGCATTGGTTGGGAGGGGGAGTTGTGTCCCCTTTAGGGCAATGAACTGAGATTGAATTAACACGTTAATGAAATAATATGTTTTTTAAAAAAAACAATTCAGAAGCAAACCTTGTCCAGGAAATAATAAGGAAGGACCTGAATTATATCCAATAGTTCCAGAACTAAAAACAATATTCTAGGGGTATCTTGAGATTATTTCTCTTTTAAGACAGTTGTTTCATGCCCCCTATTATTATAGGGTTGGGTTGTTTATAGGCCAGCTTGGTCTAGTGGTTAAGGCTCCAGGCTACAAATGAGGTGGTGAGTTCTAATCCTGCCTTAGGCATGAAAGCCCGCCAGGGGACTTTCCCTCTTTCTCAGCCCAGCCCACCTCACAGGGTTGCTATTGTGGGAAAAATAAGAGGAAGGGTTATTAAACATGCTCGCTACCTTGAGTTATTTATAAAATAGGTAGGATAAACATAAACAGATTGTGTATAAATCTCATTTTTATAGAGAAGTTTATGTTGAAAATGCATCTATCTTTTAATTCTGGAATAATAATTAAAGCTATTTTCATTTCAGCTGTGTTATGATTATAAATTTGATTTTGAAGATGACCAGCACAAGATTGCATGTCACTGTGGGGCTGTAAACTGCCGAAAATGGATGAACTAGATGCATTCCTTACTCTCTCTGAGGGCTGCGTGTCCCAAGGAAGAAGTGATTTTTGATGCTGTTCATTTGCAGGGTGGGGATGTGTTATGTGTATGAAAACAATCACTTCTCTCAAGTTATCTCTTCTACTCCAGTGTAAAGTGAGCACCAGAAGCCAGCTGGCAGAATATGGAGTTAGGCCTGGCTTCCAGGCACCCAGAATGGAAACTGATCTCCAGACCAGTCCAGCACTTTTGATTTCATTAAAAGATAAATTTCTTTTCACTAAAGAGAAATCAGACTCGGGCAGAGAAGCTGTGGCTGACCTGCTGAAGGGCAGTGGGGCACTAATGAATGTAGACTGAAATCACCAGCGTAAGGGAGATATCCAAAGTGCTGGCCACAGCCTTACTTACTAAAGGGGCAGGCCCTCTAAAAACAGGAAAAAAATTAAAAACGTAGACACCACTGAACAAGGAATGTACTGAAATGACTTCCTTAGGGATAGAGCTAAGGGAAAAATAACTTGCACTAAAATACATTTAAAATACTTGATTCCATGAGTCAGTTTATTGTAGTTTTGATTTCTGTAAAATAAGAGAAACTTTTTGTATTTATTATTGAATAAGTGAATGAAGCTATTTTTAAAAGGAAAAGTTAGAAGCCAAGCTGCTGCTGTTACCTGCAGAACTAACAAACCCTGTTACTTTGTACAAAAAATGTAAATATTTTGAGGATAAAAGTTCAGTATAAAAAATAGGAATTGACCAAATGCTACCAGATCTTGCAGCAGTTCGGGTGCTTATTAAACTTAATAGGGATGTTACAATATGATTTCATGTATTAAACATGTCATTACAATTGTCATGGGTAACCAAAATCTCAATTTAAGAGAGATTTTACTTTATTTTTTTAATCTTTTAAGCAGGCTCAGTTATGCTGTATTGACTTTTTTTTTAAAGCAGCCCTTCAGATTGATTAGACAGCATGTAAATTACAGCAGTGGTTTTTGTAGATGTTTGAGGAAACTTAGGCTGATCTATTTTATTTGTATTATATTGTTACATCCCTATTTCTTAAATCAGGTTTTTTTGTGTGTGTAGAATATGTGATAACTGTGAATAACTGCTAAAACCACCCAAACTAGATGCTGAACATTGATTTTGTTTTCCAACAGAAATAGTGGAGATTATATGAACTGTTCAGCTTACACTAAAATTATGTAATGAAACTAGGAATGTGTAGTGAGAGCGTAAGTCAATAGCTGCCTTCTTGAAAAGTAAAATCAAGGAAAAAAATTATAGGAATTGTGCTTTCAGCTGCAGGACTCTGCCAATAGGATTTTGAGGAAAAAAAAGTAATTTAAAATGTGTTTGTATGAATTGTTTTTGTTTACATTTCTTTTAAAAAAATAAACACTGTTTGTGTTTGCTTGTAGAACCCTAATCAACATTTTGAACCAGGTTAGCTTTTTTATTTTGTACTTTTAATTCTGGTACTGACACTTCACAGTCTAAATATTAAAAAAATGAAGTTTTTTTGTGTGCACAGCTAAAGTGGACTGTAAAACTGGTAGTATATTCAGTGATACAGGTCTGAACTTGTAATGTATATGGCATGATGTATTTTTATCTTACAGAATAAATCATTGTATATATTTTTCTCTTGATAATAGCTGTATGAAATTTGTTTCTTGAATATTTTTCTTCTCTTGTACAATATTCCAACATCCTACCAGTATTTGTCTTACAGGTTTTTATTCTGTTCTGTATAATAGTTATCTAATGTTGGCAAAAATGATTTTTTGAAGTATACAGAGTGTTATGGGCTTTGAAATTTGTGGAAACAAATTTAGAAAATTGGCATTTACAAATAAAATATTTTACATCTATAAATATTTTAATATTTTCCTTTATGTCAGGATGCAGCACATCCTGAATATATTATCTCCAGGGATACACCAAAGAGGCTGTTTTTGCCATCAAGAAGATACCTTAGATAGCTCAATGCTGTACCCAAATCCCAATTCTACAAAAACAGATGCATATGTAATATAAAAAGTATAGAAAACATAATTGTGCAGATTATGTTTTATGCATAGCAGAACTTATATTATTTAATAAATGATCATGCTAGTAGTTCTAGTTTTTTCCATTTTGGACATCCTTATCAGTTATAGAACCTCCTTTATTTTTGGATTTTTTAAAAAAAGCCTATTTAAAACTATTGTAAGCCCTCTCTTTCTCCCCCACAAAGCTTTTGATTATATCTTATGAACAGAGCACAGTTGATTCTGCACACTTAATTAGGTAACCTCCTGGACTAGGAAGAGCTTTCTACTACTAACAGACTGGCTGGTTTCACTGAATTAAAATAAAAGGTACTGTTACAAAAGTTAAAAAATCATAAATGGCATAAGGTAACCAAGCATTTAATGTACAATAGAAACCAAAAGGACAGTTGCTAATATGAGTGTCAAAAACACCTAGTGTTAATAATAAAAAATGCAATACAAAATACATAAAAATGGATATTTTTCTCTCTCCATGATATTGCAAAAGATAAATCATAAAACATTTTTCTAGACATACTTTTTATGTGCTGCCTGATTTTAAAAAGGAATATCAAAACCTTAACTAGAATCTAATCCCATTCGCAATCCTTAATGTGGACTTTAAACTGCACTGCATAAATTAAGGACCAGGTTTCCCAATGGAAGTTTTCAATCCATTATCAAATTCAAGCTTCTCACAAATATTTGTGTGTATCAATAACTTGTAAAATGATCTGGTTTTTTTAACCTCTTCCCGAACAAATGGGGTAGAACTGAATATGATAAAAATCAAGTAACAAATTAGGGTCATCGCTTAGCTGCCATCTGAAGTTATAACTGATCCAAATGGGGATTTTTTTATGACCTGGATTTAAAATTCTGATGATGGAGCCTTGTCCCTCCACAGTCACCTAACCAAAATTTGGGCACTTTTCAAAATAGCTCCATTTATGGCCAGCTGCAGCATCCCACAATCATTGACTGTGTTTTACAATGGTTTTGCCAAAAACTGACATTTACATCCAATGTTCAGCAAAAGGTGTCTCGAGAGAGAACCATTGGTTTGCCTAACAATTGCTGCAAAAGGTTGTATACGACATGCAACCGTAATGGGCAGTGTCTATTATAGTCACATATTACCTGTAAACTTTTTAAAAATGCTGTCGCGTACTGTGGCATTTCAAATTGCTTTGGAAGAACAGAAAAGTTATGCCACCTGCCCTTTGCCCCTCATTTGTCAATCATTCTCTCATGCAGAATTTCTCAACCTTAAGTTTGAGATATCTGCATTTCAACTCCCAGAACTTCCCAGGCAACATGCCAGGTGAGGAATTCTGGGAATCAAAATCCAGACTGTTTTGATGCTGCAAATCTCATAGTCGCCCCGTATGGGCTTCCTGGCACATAAGGGAGCCTGAGGGGATGGGGGGGTACAGCACTGGAGCTGCATTGAAGCAGGCAAGTGCTACTTGGTCTTCGGAATCATTAAAATGGGACCCTGAACTGGTTCAAATATTATAGGACATTGAGATGGACATTTTATTAGATTAAAATTAATAAAATTATTTACAAAAAAGACAAGAGTTAAAATGTAATTTTCTCCAGAATCCCAGCCATAAATTCAAATGGAAAAAGTACCATAATACTTCTGCAAAAAATACTGGCAAAACACGGTAGTTTTCTGACAGACCATGTAGGCCGGCTTCATTAGATGCATTCACTAATTAAATTACATTGCCCTAATTATCATTTAAAATATTTCTCTACACGGTTGGACTCCGAGGAATGTCATCGCACTTCTACTCCTGCAGAAAGAAGGGGCAAGAAATGCAACCACTTCTGCTCCAACTTGAAGATTGCCGTGCACTGTGATTTCTGACCTTCATTAAAATAGTTTCCTTTAAGTGTTCAGGGATAGAAATAGCAGCAAGGATTGCCAGCCTCAGAAAATAATGCAGAAAGCTAAGAGTCCCTGCACAAGTGGGCATTCCTTGAGGCGGTACTCAATTCTCCAAGCGCCACTGCTGAAGGGAGGAGCCATCGCATATGGCCATGGTGACGTAGCCTTTGAGATTAAGTGGATCAACCATCTTCATGCACTGCCCAACAGATACTTGATACAGCCTATTGTTTTTCTGCAGAGAGAAACATAGCAGGTGAGATAGAACAGTTCCAAACCTATTTTTGCAGCCAAGTTATTCCTTTTAGCAGGCTTATGTACTTAGGTGCTCCCGTACCACCTCTGCCTTTAATAGCAATAGTAACAGCAATAACATTTAGACTTATATACTGCACCATAGTGCTTTACAGCACACTCTGGGCAGTTTACAATGTACACATTATTTGAATATTGGCCCCAACAATCTGGGTCCTCATTTTACCGACCTCGGAAGGATGGAAGTTGAATCAAACTTGAGCCTGCCAGGATACAACACCAGGCAGTGGACAGAGTTCGCCTGCAATACTACATTCTAACCACTACGCTACCAGGGCTGTATAGATTTTACATTTTAGTCTTCATAAACTGCAACTTACTCACCAAAACATTACTTCTGAATAATTCTGTCAGCATCAAAAAAAAAACAAACATTGATACACATATTCCATGCTTCCCAGGTAAACCTACTCATCTGGTCTTGAAAGGCCAAGTTTTGATTAACAGTACTTTCATTCTTCCACTAGTTTTTTGCTTCTATAAATTTATTAGTCACCAATAAAATTAAAATAATTTTAATTAATGATAATTGCTGCTTCAGAATTCCAAATTTAGACCATGGCTACTTCTACCAATGAATTAAGACTAAGTATTTTGGCACTGTTCTACTCCTAACAGGTATTAGTGGGCATTGGGCTAGAAGGCAGGAGACTGGGAGTTCTAGTCCCATTTTAGGCATGAAAGCCAGCTGGGTGATTTAGCCCAAATCAAAGAGAAGGAGAAAGAAGTATTAGGGATGTTCACCACCATGAACTACTTCTAAAGTAGTAAAGCTGGGATAAAAACCAAATAATCGTGCTGAAAGGCAAGGATTTAAGCTTTCAAAAACATCAAACTGGTCAAAATCTTTTTGTCCATGTAGCATATTCCTAATTGGAAGCCTTGCTGTGTGAAGGATCCACAGGCAATAAGGTTATGGTAGACATTCTCGTGAATATCTAGCTTTCACAATAATTTGTATGATCCATGCACAAAGCGAACCAATTCTCAAGTTTATATAAACTTTTAACAACCTTTAGCCAGAACTGCACTAGACTGAAATTCATCCTGGCCAAATTCACTTACCCCAAGTAGCCACTGCTGAGATCCTCCGGAGCCATGACATTTCATAAGGCGTGGTGGATCGGACGTGCGCGTTTCAGATACATCCAAACACAAGAGGTTATTTAAGATTAATTCATGATCCTCGTTATATATCCATACCTACGAAAATGATTACGAATATTTTAGGATCTCTAGGAACCAATGAATTGAGGGTGGTTTAATCACGAAGGGGAGAAAACTTCATACGCTTCTCTTTCATTGTGTCAGTATCTTCACTACATTTTCATCTGCTTTGGTTTTCCACCCTGGAGCAAAATTATTTCTTACTGCAGGAGATGTTATTTAAGATGACATGATGTTGATTACCCAAGGAAATTATAAAATTAACAAACCAACCAAATCACGTCTGCTCATATTCTGCCATTAATTAATAACATTAGCTGAATATACAGATGCTAATACTGAATGAAAAGGCACTTACAGCTGAATACACACCTAGCAAATAACAAATAGTTTCCTATTAATTTTGCTTCTGTTTGGATGATCTCAAAAGACCCCACCCACCTACCATTTGTTTCCATCTGTCTGTTCCACAGGCATATTTCCAGCTTCATTAGATTTGTTTCATATAATATTTGCTTAAATTCAGAACTTCTTTCCCCAACTTGATATTTTCAGTATCAGGTATATGTCCCATAATCCCACCCAAAGTGTCCAAGGGATTTGGAAAACTGATTCAATACATTTGAAAGGCAGCTAATGAAACAAGCTGGAAGCAAGTTGCCACGCGGAACACAATTTTAACCAAGGTACCCCTTAATATTTAATATACAGTGATTGATTTCTGAAAATATTGAAAAGATTTCAGGGAAAACATTAATTAAAAAGTGATTTATTCCCTCGTTTCCATAGAGTAGCTCAGTTTAGGCATAAATGTAAACCTATCTATAGATTAGTATTTTTTTAATTTGTCATCCATTAGTGCGAACTAGTCAATGGAGATTCTCAGTCATACAGGTCATGGTTGTCCCAAAGGTGCTTTTTCAAAAGGCAACTGAACTTTGTTTCCCCTTGAAGACATTTTGCTCCTCATCCAAGCAGCTTATTCAGTTCTGACTGAATGGTGGAGGATGGAAGGATTTATATTCCTTGCGATCATCTAGTCGTTAGCCCTCTTTCTGAGAGTCACTGAAGCCACTTAGAGGTTTATCTGTGCCCTCAGGGTCACCTGAAGAGTGCAAATGGGGTTGGAACCTTCTTGGAATGGCTGAAAGGACCATGTTGTAAACAGGAGATAGATAAACAACCACTTCATAAATGCATGGCACAACATAGCACTTAGCAATAGCACTTAGACTTATATACCACTTAACAGTGCTTTTACAGCCCTCTCTAAGCGGTTTACAGAGTCGGCCAATTTGCTCCTAATAATCTGGGTCCTCATTTTACCCACCTCAGAAGGATGGGAGGCTGAGTCAATCTTGAGCCTGGTGAGATTTGAACTACCAAATTCAGAGCAAAAAAATGTCACAAAATTGAGTGCAACCCGCAAAGGCAAGCAAAGAGTTTGGACAACGGTGGATTAAAGCAGTGGTTCTCAACCTGTGGGTTGGGACCCCTTTGGGGGTTGAACGACCCTTTCACAGGGGTCGCCTAAGACCATCGGAAAACACATATTTTTGATGGTCTTAGGAACCGAGATACCAATTTGATGGTTGGGGGTCACCACAACATGGGGAACTGTATTAAAGGGTCACGGCATTGGGAAGGTTGAGAACCAAAGGATTAAAGTAAGGCAGCCCTCTGGGAAAATAGGAACACGACATGTGAAAATTAGCAAAATCAGCAAAAAAATAAGGGGTTTAAGGAAACTTGCCTGATTTTTATTACTGTAGTCACATTCCCTGACCACCACAAGTCCTCCTTTTTGACTCGGGTGGCTTTGCGCCGCCAGACATTTATTAGTGTGAAGGTGATGCAACTATAAGGAAAAGAAACAAACACACTGAGAAGAGAACATCCGATGTGAACAGAGGTCATATTCGCAACCACCCTCCCGCCCAACATTCCTATTATATTCTCTAAGAACAAAAGTGTGAGGAACAAAAAAAAAAGATTAAATATAAATTACCAACCAACGTTTTCAGCGTTATTACACTGAGATATTTCACAAATGAAATATCTGTCTCTTTCTATCATTAATATTTGCCACCATCCTGCTGGGCCAAGAATCAACTTGGCAAAAAAAGATACACGATATGCAGAGGCATAAGGTAGATCTCTCCTTACAAACCATCCGATCACCTTGTATGGCTACAACTGCAATACTTAGGTCGTGTAAAACTTTACTTCTAGAAGTGGAGACAGTGTAATTTTTGAGAAATGTTAGTACTTGGCGGCTTTAAAACACAAGGTATATAAATAAAAAACTAACTGGCACAATTATTACACTTTTTAAAAAATTTAGTGCTAGAAACCAATTTCTATAGAAGGACTTTATATTGAAAGTAGAACGGTCACAGTACAGTACAGACAGGATCTAATTTTACACAACCACGTAACAAATCATCAGCAGTATTAAGAAGGGAGACGGGAATTAAATGGTTAATTATAGGCAAGCTACAGAATTCTGGAAGACTGCTTTGTTTCCGACAGTATATAAGCATACCAAACAGATTGATAATTTTTTACAAAAATCAGAATATCTGTCTGGACAGCTGGGATGGATAATCATCTACACACAGACACTATTTGTTCACAAAAGAAGTACAAACATATTTGGGGACTTGATATAAACATCATTTTTATAGGATAAAGTACTCAAAACTGATTCTGATACAGTTACAACCTGTTTACAAAAAAAGTAAAACTGAAACTCCATTTTTATTATTTATCCAACTCTCACATTCAGCATTTTGTTCCACTGTTTCAAAGACTGAATTTAAGAAGAACCTTATCTGATCTCCATCAAATTTCAATATAGGTAGTCCTCGATTTAGAACCATTTATCTAGTGACCATTCAAAATTATGATGGCACCGAAAAAAAGGTGACTTATGATCCTGGCAACCATTGCAGTAACCCCCATGGGCACGACTGGCAAGTGACTTTTATTTATGACGGTTGCAGGGGTCATGTGATCACCCTTTTTGACCTTATGGCAAGCAAAGTCAACGGAGAAGCCAGAGTGACTTAACAAATGCAATGATTCGCTTAACAAATGTAGCAAGAGAGATGGCACATTGGGACAAAACCATATTGATTCACTTCACAACTGTCTCACTTAACAACAGAAATTTAGGGCTCAATTGTAGCCGTACATCACTTGTATATGCCTAGAGATTCCTTCCTTGATGGCATCTTTTCCACCTCCATGTAACAAGAAGACAAAATGATTGAATGATGTATACAAAGCCGTTTTAAAGACTTTGCTATGAGGTCAGAAAATTGTCTTACACAGTCTATGAAACAGGAATTGTTATACATAAGAATCTGATTTTTATGCTAAAGCATGAATTAGCCACCCAATTTAATTTGTGAAGAGTAGATTCAAAACTAAGAAAAAAACAAACTTCTTTGAAAGACTAACATGCTTTCCCAAAAAAACACAAGGGGCTCAACTAGAGATAGACATGAGCCATCAAAGGGAGTTTGCTTTCCTTCCCTTTTTTCCCCCCTTGTCCAGAAATCAAAGTCCACTTTGATTGAAATTCAGCCCAAATAGGGAAATAAACCCTTTGTGTTCTGACTCATCCAGCAGCAGGAGGACTCAGGGATTCAACACTGCATGCAGGATAAGAAGACAGCTTTATCGGTTCATGATAGCCAAAAAGTGAAATCTGGTAGCACTAACAGATTTTATTTATAATCAAGCATTCGGTGGTTAAAATGTTCTCCTATAATTTTGTCTTTCTTCAGTCAGATGTCAAACTTGTTTCCAGGATTCTCAATTACAGGTATGGTTACAATTACTCTGTGGAGGTTGAGAACTGCAGAATTCACATGCACCAAAGATTTTGGGCTACCTGGAAAGGTATTAACCCATGATAGCGAAACTATAGCATGCGTGCCCAAAGTGACATATAGAGCCATGTTGCCTCGCATGCGCAGCGTCGCCCGATCCTCTTCCAAGTTTCTGGCGTGCATGCGTCAGCGGGCTCTCGTGCATGCAGCAGTGCCGGAAATTGGAAGAGTGGTTCTTCCATTTTCTGGCATGAGCGCCGGCCAGCTAATTATCAGGTGCGCATGCACACCAGTAACCAGAAGGCTAGCTGGCCACTGCGCATGCACACACTGCAAACCGGACGTTCATTTTCCAGTGCTGTATGCCCCCCGAGCAGCTTCCGGGTTGCACCCCAGATGAGCGCGCACAAAAACAACTCGGTGCCAAAAAGATTCGCCATCCCTAGTCTTAACCAACACTGTGGAGACTGTAACATGTTAGCTCACTAACTGATGGGATACTTGTAATCTCTCACACATATAACCTGCTTCTGCAAAACCATCCCACCTCCCCATCTGCCATAGCTTCATCCCAATCTAAATCAGCTACTTCAGCTTAACCATTTTGTGCCTCTGATGAACTGAATGATGAACAAGACTTTATACCTTATAATAACATTTATTAGTCTGAAAAAGCGCTACTGGACACCTCCTGATTCTGGGATGGATGCATGGTTTTTGATTGCTTGATTTCTATTAGCAACAGCACTTAGACTTATATACCGCCTCACAGTGTTTTACAGCCCTCTCTAAGCGGTTTACAGAGTCAGCCTCTTGCCCCCAACAATCTGGCTCCTCATTTTACCCACCTCGGAAGGATGGGTCAACCTTGAGCCGGTGAGATTTGAACTGCCGAACTGCAGCTAGCAGTCAGCTGAAGTAGCCTGCAGTACTGCATTCTAACCACTGTACCACCTCAGCTCTTAGCTGATATTTAGAAAACGCATTTAGATTCTTTTACCTGAAAGATTTGGCATGTTAATAATATAGAATTCCCTACAAGATTATGACAGCTATTGGATTGATCGACTTAAAATGAATATTTAGCAAGTTTATGGAGGGCTGGCATAGGACTGCTATAATAGCTACATAAGTAAATCTACTGCATTTTGAAACTCTGCTTTTAAATATGAATGGATAGTAGACAGGAAAAAAGGGAGGGCTGTAATTTTTGGAAATCCACCACTATAACTAAGAGTGGGCATTTTTAAAAAAGATGACGGCTCCTTGGCTTTGTAATATACTCTGCCTAGAATTTCGATTAAAAAGTTATCCCTTTTAGATCACAGGTGCGGCCACCAAAATAAATCTCTTTGATTTCTGCTGATTTCTACATAGCTCCTTTGTACTGTTTATATAGCTAAGAGAAGCTGCAGACTCAAGGAGCGGAAGCTATCAGAAAAAAAAGGTGAATGTGTACTTTTAACCTGGTAAGTAGGGCAGTGCTCCAATTACATCATCTTCAGATTGATCCGAAAAGGCAGAAAATGTTAGGCAAGCCATGTGCCTTCGCAGGCTGTGAAGCCCTTGCTGATAAAGGAAATCACATTGCAAGTTTGCTTATAAAAAAACAACTGATCACCACTGACCATTCAGCTATGATGGGGGGGGGGGGGCTTCTGCCTTAGTTTTTAGTGCAGGCTGTAGAAAACATTCAGAAAGATTAAATATTATTTGCCCAAAAGGAAACCAAATGACACAACAGTCAGACATCTTCATCCCAACTACTGCAGCGTTATTACTTATTTTAAAGCTAAATTTCTGTATTGTACTAATATACTTCCTTTCCCTTCAAATACCACTTGAAAATTTCCACTCCTGGATTTTTAAGAGCTCGGATTTAAGCAAATCTGAAGAATAGCCTCTTACCCTTCCTTGTTGCAGTATTTTTGGCCTTTTCTGTCCTTTATTGAAAAAGACCGGAGGCTGAACCTTGGCATTGGGCCCAGAGATTTGCATCTCTGGATACACATTGTCTAAATACCATTTGAATGACTTGCAGTTCAATTTTTTTCTTAATTCCACACGGTCAGTAATATTCCCATAGTTCCTTGTTCGTAGCTCTGGACGCAAGGCAAAATACTGTTCCTGTTTGAAAAGATTAAGGTAGCAAAGAGAGTCACTGTTATTCCTGTTATGGGAAACTAAGTCTAAGAACAGCTAGTCCTCAGTGAACGACGATCATCTGCCGACTGATAACTCTGTTGATAAGCAACGTGTGGAAGTGTGATGTCATGGGAACGCGGCAACTTATGCAGCCGTTCTGATTGTGGCTGTTGAGCGAATCCTGAATGGTCTTGGGTGTTACTTGATCACCCTTTGCAATCTTCTCTGGCTTTTCGTTGACCAGCGTTGAGGGTCACAAACGCTGATTGTATGTGACTGCAGGACGCTGCAAATACTGTAATTGCAAACTGACGGCCAAGCAAGCCCCCGAGTGGTAATTACATGAGGCTACGGTGGCCACAAATAAGAGGATCAGTTGTAAGTCTCCTAATTCAGCCTTGTTGTAACTTCAAATGGTTGCTGAATGAGTGATTGTTAAACAAGGACTACCGGTAACAATGGCCTTTATGGTGGGAGGAAGCTGATTTCTCTGAGCTATTCATTCAAATTCTTTCCTAGGTAAAAATTACAAAATACCACTGAAAAAAAATTAAGGTTCTATATGTGTTTCCAACATTTATGCCTCTGTTCCCTCCCCATATAAATTTCCAGAAACATTCTAATAATCAAAAGTACTAATGCCCTGGAAACGGAAGATATAACGATGCTTATTTCTTCCAACAACCATAACATCAATAGATTTTTTTTCAGGAAGGTGGGAAAAAATCCATCTTTTGCTCCCTTCACAGGTTCACTGAGGTATAACTCTTGTCCCACCCACCCCGCCTCACCCAGTAATATATAGTTGTCACGGCCTTGCCTTATATTCATCCATCCACACATGTGCGAGGCGTAGAGAATTATGTGCCATTGTGTCCTGCCCTCCTGGAGACCCATAGGGACGCCTTTTACGGAAGATGTGCCCTACTCTGGAGCAAGGGATGATGAGAAGTTTGCCTCCACACATCCAAATCTGTTCGGAAATAGAAGGACTTAGTAAAATATTTGTACTGAAGGCAGGTGATCTTAGACACAAAATCTAGTTTCTGGAAAGGTTTTGCCTATTTGCGTAACTGTGACGTCTGGATCTTATTAATAGCCGAATGATCCCATTCAGGATGGCAACTGTCATCAAAGATTAATGTTCAGCTCTGTACTCCTCTCCCAAAAACACAGAATGAAAGCAAGGAGTTTTTGACCACCGTTATACAGAAGTCCTTGGCTTGTAACAGTTCACTGAGAGACTGTTCAAAGTTAGAATGGCACTGAAAAAAGTGACTTTATGACCATTTGTCACTGATACAACAGTTGCAGCATCCCCATGGTGACGTCATCATAATTAGGACACTTGGCAACTGGCTCATATTTACAACCATTGCTGTGTCCCGGGGTCATGTGATCACCGTTTGCGACCTTCCGGCAAAGTCAATGGGGATTCACTTAACAACTGGGTTACTAACTTGTTAACTGTAGTGGTTCACTTGAGACAAAAAAAAGGCTGTAAAACGGAGCAAAAGTCACTTAATAAATGTCTCACTTAATAATAGAAATCTTGGGTCCAATTTTGGTCGTAAGTCAAGGACTACCTTTATTGTTAAAGCAAGATATCTGAGGTCCAAGATATTTGAGGAGCAGTCTTGGGTGCCAAACTCTGCAAACAAATCAGTTTTCTAAGTTCATCATCAAATTGTCTTCACTCCAGAAATATGTTCAATTGCCTAAATTCAAGCCCTGTCCCTTCCCAACAACGGCCCCACAAACTATATGCCTCTCAGTTTTTTATAACCGTTATATATAACATATATTTATATCTTAACCTATATGCAGTATATATAGAAAACAGATGGTAGCTAGATAGCTAGATAGCAAGAGAGGTATCTCTTATAACAGTTCTTCCTGCTTTGAGATAAATAATATTTCAATTACTCTGACAATAATTTCATGTGTCTCTATATATAAAAGTTTTTTTTTGTGTGTATGTGTGTGTGTGTGTGTGTTCTAGCATAACTCTGGAATGCCTCGAGCAATTTCAACCAAACTTGGTACACAGATGGCTTACTCTTTGGAAACAAATACTGGGGGGGGGGGGTGTTAACACAACCCTAACACCCCTCGGTGTGGGTGTTCTGTTAAGATACAGCCTGTTGTGCCTTAAAATGGCTTTTACTGCACAGCACAGTGGAGTTGCCATGGTAAGGGCTTCACAGTACTCCACAAAGGGGCTCCTCTGGTAAGGGGGAAAATCCAACATTAGCAATTATGTTTGGTCCGGATATTTTCCCCTTATAAATAAATACCAGGGCAATGCCAGGTTATCACCTAGTGCTAGATAATTTTTCTAGTATGTCGCAATGGATGCTTTACCTGAAATAATCTCAGAGAAACTATTATTCTAGAATTAATGTTTAGCTTTTTGGAGGGGTTTTTTGTTTTTTGAAAATAACTTCATCTTTCTAGCTATTTAAAATCAGAAAAATTCATACTACTGTTGTCTTCGATGCTGCAGAAAGTGATTAATAATGTGCAAACACCTCCTAATTCTGAAAGCAGCCTCCATCAATCATCCAAGAACAAAAAAAGAATGCCCACTAGTAAATCCCAAAAAGAAACATACCCGAAATGATATTTCCAGATTTTCCCCTCCCCAGATGTCCATGCCGCTGTCATACTGTCCAAGCGCATTGAAATATTCTCTGTCCATTGCAAACAAGCCTCCTGCCATTGTGGGGGATCTAAGATGAAAATGAAATCTTCAGCAAAGCCCTGGCAGAAGTGGGAGTAAGCAGTGGGAAACATAGATCCACAAAGAACTTCCTAGATCAAGAGAATATTTAAACCTAACCCCTTCTTGGAGCAGCCTTAGGAGGAAGCAGTGGTCAGTGCATGAATGGATCAGGGCTTGGCCACCAGTGCGGCCTTGGTCAAACATGGAGCTATTGATTTGGCCCTCTAAGACAGTCCCAGTTTCTGATGTGGCCCCTTGGAAATACTGCCCACCCATGCTCTACATACTACTCCTGTGGTTTCATAGGATGGCAACAGAGAGCAAGGTTTAGCTGCCTTGTAAATTTAATACATAAAATATAAGAAGCAGTTGATCATAATAAAAGTAATAAAAACAAGAGAGAACAAATTTTATTATTTACTGAACAAGACTCAATTCTTAACATCTTTTTTAAAAATAAAATAAAATGGGAATTCTTCCAAAATTCTGGCTTTAAATCTTTAGTTAAACCGAAGCATTTTTCCTGGGAATGTACTATAAGTGAATATCAATTAATACATATTAACAAACAAATATTGAGGGTACTGATATTGTCCTCCCTCCATATAAAATTAAATGTCTGTGGTTGGTTCCACCACAAAACCGCGGTAGACAAAAGCGCGGTCGACGAAAGTGTGTATGTGACGTCATCACAGCGCGACGAAAAAGATCGAAAAAT